TTGTAAATTTTTGCTGGTGAAAAAAAGAAATTTCTATGAAGTGACTCCTCTGGAGGGGTCTTCTACAACGGGGGGTCTTCTAATATGGGGGGGGGGGGGGGCTTCCTATTTGGGGGGGCTTTTATTGTGAGGGGGGGTTTAAGTGATTTTTGAAGTTCTGTAAATATCCCACTGACTTTTCGAAAACTTGAGTTTTTTCAATTGCCTTTGACGGTTGTCGATAGGTTTCTGAGATCTTGGAAACCCGTTCTCAGAAATCTGTAAAAATTTTTATTTAGTGACAAACTCAGCACCTCCTATAGAAATCCGAGAAAAGGAAGTATTTTTTAGAATGTATGATACAATGCTGAATAAATAATCTGTGTTATTTTTAAAGAATTCTCTGAGACTGTGTCGAGAATAAAAAACTCTGCTTTGCTTTAGAATTACGTAGGTTCTCAGGATACCAGTGCGATAATTTCTTTGTTTCCAAAAAATCATATCCGACGAAAATGGCTAATCGAGAGTATATCAGCTTGTACGAGCGTAACGCCATGACGTTTTGGCCGCACTTCTTTTCATTTTTCTCAAGAATAGCACCAACTAGACCATTTATTTTTTTATTAAAACTTGTATCTCCATCAACCCCATACCCTCTAAAAATATCAGCTTCCTTGAGTGAATCGTTTGAGGATAAATGTGAAAACAAATGGCGTAACGCGATGACGAAAAAGGGACCCAAGACGTTGGGTGGTCTGTTTGCTTTTTACTTTTCTGCGAATGTGTACCTAACATATGAAAACGGTCAACAGTAAGTTTGTAGCCAACAGCTTAATGTATCTGCCGGATGATAAAACATTTCGAATATTTCTCTACTTTTCAAGTCGCCTCACTTAAACTAACGTAACACGATGACGGCTCTGTAACGCGATGACGCTTGATTTTTAAGAGAGTTTGCATCTGTATTTTCTTTTGCTCAGTATATAATCTTATAAAAGCAATACAATGAATTTTCGATATCTGCAACAAAAACATCTTTAACATCTCGTTTAATGATAAATTCAATACAAAAATTTTAAAAAAATGACATAGATTCTATATCAAGTAACGAGTATATAGACATACAAGATATTTTTACAATGATTGGATAAAATACTTCGTAAGTGAGAAATAATACAATGTAAAAGTAAAGAAAATAAATACTTCACAGGAACAGAAATATTTTTCATCAGTTTCAAAGATAATTCTAGTATGTTTGAATGAGAGAAGACTGTAGTTAAATTACAAGAAATTCGATAGTCTATACAGTGTTTCATTTTAAACAGAAAATCGAAACTTTTTTTTGTCGAAGTGCTTGAATAATATCCATATTCAATTGAATTATTTTGAAGAGCTTTTATTGAATGAATTTTTTAGTTTCTGGAACGCTTTTAGTTGCTGTGAACAACTGTTCAAGTTGACCTTTCGATTCATCGATACAATCTTGTGTTAGTTCCATGACATTGATTGTAGTTGTTTTTGATTGAGCAATTTTCACAAAATCTGCAGCGGAGGTTCATCTTTCACCACTCGTAATTGCACGATGTACAAGACGTTTCAAAGTCCCTCCCACGGCATCCACGACACCTTTGCCGTGAGAGGTAGCAAAATAATGCCAACTTAAATCCACCTAGAATTTAACGATTGATTATTGCTAAGGATTGACTAAAAATCAATATCACTGTTTACCTTATGTTGTTGTGACAAACGACATACATTTCGAAACAAAAATTTCTGTTTGAACTGCTGGCTTGATCCATCCGGAAATATATGAATTTGTTGTAGATATTGAAATCGTTGGGTTAATTGTTCGAGTAAATTATCAATTGAAGCATTGACACAATATTTATTATGTGTTAAGTTGTTGGAAATATACACGAAAGATTCACCACCACCACCTGCATACCACACATAAGTAGTAAATAAAGATACAGCATCTTGAGAATAATAAGAATTTTGAACAGCATTTTGCATACATAAACGAAAATTCTCACTAAAATCCACCTGTATACAAATAATTTCATCATTTGAAATAATTTTCATTTTTTCAAAAAATGCAGCTTGTTGTCGTTTAATAAAAACATGGCTCAAGAATGGTTCAATTTTTTCCTTTAAAGTTAATAAACATTGATTAATTGCATCATTAAATTCAATTTTTTTTGTTTTTCCATCTTGTAAAACCCATTGAAACCATTGAATACGTTTAGTTGGATTAATTACATTTTTCATAATATTATTATCAAAATTATGTGAACATAAATGGCAACAACTAAACATACATTTTTCTTCTTGTTCATCACAAACAAGCATCGACGTGAATTCTTGAAGTGAATTTAAACCATCACAACTAATATGTTTTGACAATGCTTTTATCAACAAATTTACATTCTCATGATAAATGCATAAACAACTACGGTGAGGCATGTAAGAATGTATCAATATATTCACTGGACGTAATTCATTAAATGAAGTTAATGACAAGTAACGTTCATCGGATTCCGATTCACTCATCCCTAGACTAAAAGGCGATGAAATGTGATGTGACTAGATATGTAAATGAGACTATCAAAGGGCACATCTCTCGCTGATATCCAAAGATGTGCTACAAGAGAAAGGCCGAGTGTTTTTAAACTTCATAATTAGAAATCAGTTCAAAATAAAAGCAATTTAAAGTTAAGAAGTCAGAACTACAAAGAACAGAAACATAAATATCTAAAAGTTGTAAAAAAAGAAATAATATTCATCGAATGCAGATTCACTTTACCGTAGACTGTTGAGTGTTGAATATATTTGAATGACCAAAGAACTGGAGATTTTGAAACAAGAAATTTAAAAAGAACTAATTACTAAGCTTTCGTAGCTCGGTTTTTCAGCACTGATGGCATTTATGGAAACCATGAAGTCTTTCTACCGTTCATAGTTAGGATATTATTAAGTGACCAACTGAAAAGGAATTTAGATTTAAATGCGGAGATGTTTCGTCTTTATGTGAGAACAGGTTAAAAACATTAACCAACGTCAATTTTATATACGGTACAAAAGTTATTCTTCATCCAAAACATCATCTGGAGAGTATAGGCGGCTCAAAGCCGACACAGGCGTAGCATTGTTTTGTAAAGAGGTCTGGCAATCACGGCACACAACTATCAATCCAGTTTTCGTATCGATCCCGCATCATCCTAACAGTGCTCCATTCACAAGAACATCGAAACCAGAGAAAGTTTCTAACATTCGTCGAACATAGCCTATTTTGAGTTAGAAAACGTTTCAAAATGATGATTTTTGATCAATAAAGATCCTTACTGGTAAATCGTGAAAAATTAATTTTCAAAACAGAATTCGATATCTCGTCGCTCTGAGGTCGAAGAAGATGCAGGTTCGGAAACGATCTGATAGTTAATTGTGACCAATTTTGAGTCAGGATTTTATAGCCGCATACAGCGCAATTTCGGTCAGTTGCCATATTTGAATCATTTTTCGCACGTGTTTTCGCCCTATGAGTCGAAAAGAAAGGAATGTTTGGTAGAAAAAACAAAGAAACTATGAGTCTTGCCGATGTTGATCACGATCACGTTCTAATCTAGTATTTCGCTCCGCATCAGTCTCGCGAGCTCGTAAGTTGTGTCGACGGTTCATTTCTTTAGCACGTTTGGCTGTAAGACGTTCTTCTCTCTCCTTTGCGTTTTCTTTTGCACGTTTATCGACTAGACGTTTCACTTCGTATTGGCTACGTGATATAAGATGCGTTTGCTTCTTTTCGACTAGGGGTGGCACTTTCCTTTCCTAAAAGAAAGGAAAGTTGAAAGAAAGTTAACTTTCCTTTCCTAAAAGAAAGGAAAGGAAAGTGAACTCTTTGGTCCTCAAGTCCTATATAATGAGGGTACCCTTAGGTCCTCAAGTCCTATATAATGAGGGTACCCTTAGGTCCTCAAGTCCTATATAATTGGGGTACCCTTGGGTCCTTAAGTCCTATATAAAGAGGGTACCCCTAGATCCTCAAGTCCTATATAATTGGGGTACCCATAGGTTCTTAAGTGCTATATAATGAGGATACCTACATGTCCTCTAGGAGTACCCTATAGGAGTACCCATAGATCCTCAACGGCTGTTTTATAGAGGTTCCCGTTCGGTACTCCTATATAATAGCTCTTGAGGATCTATGGGTACCACTGTATACCAGCCCTTCAGGACCCATTTGTACCCTCATTATATAGGACTTGGGGACCCAGGGGTACCCTCATTATATAGGACTTGAAGACCTAAAGGTTTCATTTTCCTTTCCTTTCTTTTAGGAAAGGAAAGTTAACTTTCTTTCAACTTTCCTTTCCTTTCCTTTTTGAAAGTAAAAAGAAAGTGAAAGTGCCACCCCTATTTTCGACTGTTTTTTTGACACCAAAATCGATCAATCGCTGTTTTCTGTATTGTCTGTCAATAGCCAGGCGACTCTCTTTTTGTTCAGCAGTCTCAACGACAGCACGACGGGCACGAAAAGCTCGCATTCGGTTGGTAGAAGTCGACAAGCGGATATCCATTTTCATATAATCGTGAATGTTACTGGAAGAATTAAGATCGGTGGGCGACGAGTTGGCACCGTTATTTCGCCACAATATTGTATTCAAGTAAACAAACTCAAAGAAAACTAAACTATTTATGATGAGATACTCGAAAGTGAAATTAAGAAAAAAGCGCGATAAAACACGAAAACTGAAATCAGATCAGGGAAGACTCATATTTAAAAGACAGAAAAAGCTTACGATATTTTGAAAATTAACTAGAAAAAAATGGCAAACAATAGAATCGAGGATGTAGCTAGAAAATCCACCAAAAGGCCAAATTTACCTCGAAGACCAGATCAAAATGCACAAACAACCTCTGCGACCGATTCAAACAAAGATGTCACGGATCCAAACACAGACGTCACCGATGCAAACACAAATGTCACCGATCCAAACACAGACGTCACCGATCCAAACACAGAAAATTTAGGTTTCTAGACCCTGGCCTTTCAGTCTAGGGAACAAGTCGACATTTTTATTCACTGGACGTAATTCATTAAATGAAGTTAATGACAAGTCGACATTTTTATTCGAATATTCATTAACAAATAATTGATATGTTTCACGTATGTTATATAATAAAATTCGTTTTTGTAATGTCATTGATTCACCATTATCATCTGTGACTGTGACATAATCACGTTTACCAGGTAATTGATAGGTAATATCATCTCGTTGATAAAATTGAATGACTAATTCTTTCAGTTCGATCGATAATGAATGTTGTTGACGTGTATGTTGATGAGTTGTTTTCGAGATAATATTAGGATTTTGTGCAAGATGTTGTACTACCATTATACGTTTGTTAGTATCTTTTGGTAATGAATGAACAGCACGTTCATGTGCTTTTCCTAATGACTGACGACATTTATACGAAGATTGATGACCATTTAAATTTTAAAATTTTTTTTTTATCACGATATTTTTTTTATGCTTGTTTCTGTCGAGCTCGTAACTGATGCAATAAAGCACCTTTTGAACTTTGACGTCTTGAATTATCTCGAATACGAGCTTTTCGTTTCATTTCGTCGAATTTTGATTTATTTGTTAATAAATTTGTACGGTAGAGCTTTTGCCTCTCGGCATTTGATTTAACCACTTCACGAGTAGCGAATGGAAAATGTAATAAAAATTTCTCTCAAAACAATTTTTCAATATTCTTTTATAGAGTATAAAGTTCGAATTAGACTGAGAATAGAATCTGATACATTTGAATCAGAGTGATAATTGAATGGGATTGGTGTTTTTATTTGAATTTTGTATTATCAGTCTGGACCAATCAATCCTATTTTTATGTTGATTTATCAATCATCATTTATAGAATATGATAGCAAATAAATCCTGGCTCTTTAAGTCGTATACCATCGCGCGAAATTAGTTTCTTCTTAAGTAAGAAAAAAATAAAAAATTGAAAAATCGTCATCGCGTTACGAAATATTATTTGAATATAGAATAATTATTAAATAAAAATATCTGCATTGAATAGCCCACGTAAAGTTAGCTTTGTGCATCAAGTTTCTATAAAAACAATATCAAGGCTTATTGGGCAGAAAAAAACAATACATCATTTTTTATAACGCGATGACGCGATAAAAACAGAAGTTTTGTAGAACGCTGCCGAGCCACACACCCAAGTATTAGAAACCAATTGTTTTACCCAATGATGCTTCTGTCAACGTAGAGTTCCCTGATAATAAGCAACTTTGTATCCATTAAGTTGTTTCAATGTATGGGTACAAGTAACTAATAGACTGTATATACGATGTTTTGACTGTCTATTAGTAACATCTTTGTCGCCAGTTACTATTCGCGATTTTCTGCGACAATTTATATTACAAAATCAGTTTCTATATGTTTTCGAATATTCTCTCCAACATGGTGACAATGATTTCTGTACGTATCGATTTCGAATTTACGCCACTGAAGTTACACGTTACGCGTACAAGCTGATATACACGAAGGAAGTTTTCGCGCTCGGATCAGACTCAGATTCAATTTTGTCCGGTTGTGTCCAGGTTGACAATGTGGAGTGGGTGTGGGTGTGGGCGGGTGTGGGTTTGGGTGTGGGGTGTGGGTGTTGGTGGGTGTGGGTGTGGATGTGGGTGTGGGTGTGAGTGTGGATGTGGGTGTGGGTGGCGGTGTGGGTGTATGAATGTGAGTGTTGGTGAGGTATCTACAGAAATATGTCCCAACCCCCACTACCACACCCACACCCACACCCACACCCACACCCACCCACACCCACGCCCACACCCACACTGACACCCACACTGACACCCACACCCACACCCACTCACACACCCCACACCCACATCCACATCCACACCCACCCACACCCACACCCACACACCCACACCCACACCCACACACCCGCTCAAAGCCACATCCAAACATTGTCAAATCTAATCAAACCGAATCCGAAACCCAAATGCAAACTCAGTCAAACCCGGTGAAACTGAAACTGAAACATAGCCAAACCCAGTCCAACCTAAATCCAAACTCAATCAAACCCCGTCAAACCCAAATTCTGAGTTTGACTGGGTTTGGTGCGCCCCTAGCACACACCCACACCCCTCACCCCAAAACTTTTTCAATCGCAATGGCTCGCATAAAGCCAGACACTTCTTACATCGCTTGATTGAAAGACTAAGACCCGAATTCGACATATATTAATGTTGAAGATTTATTCAAAAACTGGCGGCTGGCATTTAAAAAAAAATACGACATTAGTTTGGTGATTCAAAGCCGTATTCTGCTTTAACACAAACGATAAAGCTCGCATACATTATTGAAAATGAAATAGCGCAAACAGTCACTATGATTAGTTCACCTCATTCAGCATAAATAATGTAATTAATAGATTGATATGGTTGCAACAAATTGAAACCACTGCCGCCACCAGCTGAGCCAGTATTACCACTAATTGAGTGACTGTGATCACCTGCAGGGTTAATACTGATATATGTTTTCCCGGTAGGAATAGTATGTGCATGCGATACTTGATCGCTGCCGTGACCTCCACCTGTTTTCATACCCCAACCACCAGCTCCCATTCTCGCGTTGCTTGTAGAGCCTCCATGGTTATGACCTTGGTCGTAAATTGAATGTGTATGACTTCCAGCTGTTCCAATGGCTAATGAACCTTGTGTGTGTTGGTGAGTTGGCAATTGGTCAACGGTCAAATTGTGTACTGCGGCTCCACCACTTATGCCAGTTTCAGTCACCTGTTTCACACGTAATTCATATGGATCAACACCAATTGGGACACGTCCACGAAAATCTGGTAAATTGAACGTTGTTACATAATCGCCAGATCCGTATTGTGTACCAATGATGGCAAACAAGCGTTGGTATTCAACACGTGACACAGTCGAACCATCACATAGAAGCCATGGATAGGGAGGTTTACTTGCACCAGAATAGAGCCTAACTTCACCGGTGATAACTAAGTGTGAAGGTGTATGATTAGTTGGAATCGAATGTGGTGTATTCATTGTGCTAATTATTCGAACAATGGCGTTTTGTTCTTTATCTACTGACAACTGCTTTGAAATAACAGCTATCTGTAAGTGATCTGTGATATCGCTTAATTTGTAAACTTTAAATTCTTGTGGTCTCAATTTTTTCCCTCGCCATTCAGTTTCCATTGCATGCTGTGACAGATGTTTCTGTATATCAGTTTCTGACATAACTTGATCTGTAATGGTATGATTTTTTGACGAAGTTGTAGTTGCTGTTTCACCACTACCACTCAAACCGAGACTGAAAACTTTCAAGAAACCTTTACCAATACTACCTGAGAGACTACCACTTCCTTTTGCAGCTGATTGTTTCATTGCTTCCACATTGCCATTGAAATACATTTTACTATCATTGTGACGTTCCGTTTCTGATTGGTTATATGAAAACATTCTACTTATTTCAGCTTCTAATACATCTGGATCCAGATCCGATGGTGACCAAACTTGTTGAAGTGCATCAGATTTCAGTTTTTCCATAGTCGCATCTTGCATAGCTGAAAGCAGAAAGGACATAGATGTAGTAAGGTTAGCTTATAAAAATCTGTTTAACAAGCAAAGTTACCTTGTTGTAGTAACGACAGAAATTGTGCTTCGAGACCATCTGAGAGTGCTTGTGTGTTGGCTTCTGGACTCTCCGAATACACCAACTTCTTAATATTCATCGTATATTTTCCAATGAATTTAGATGCTTGATCACGATGTATGTACTGAGCATTTGGATTTTCACCATCAGCTGTTGTCTTGCTCGCTGCTGCTTTCAGTTGGTCACCGGTAATTGACACAAAACTAGTAGATGTCTGACGGAAGCCGGCAAAGTAGAAGGCGATTTCAATTTCATATTCACCGCTTTCAATCATTTCAGCAATCTGCCGAGCATTTTCCTCTGTTGAACATTTGAATCGAAAAATCATGATGAGTGAATTCGGATGAACTATATGAAACGGTTCTACACCAGCAATCGGTGATTTACTTCCTTGCACGATATAAGCTGTGAGTGAGTCGATCATTAATGGGGCAATATCCCAATATTTTGCATACTCGGCCGTTTTCATATCATACTTTTTTCTAATAGCTTCTCGTGCCATTTCATCAACTACATCATCACCTAATAGCAGTTTAACACGTACTTCATTTTTCGTTGACCAAACCCATGGATCAGTCAGTGAACTTCGTTGAGGTGCCATCACGGGTACATAGTAGAAGATCCATTTCTGCGGTGCTTCACCTTCATTCGATACAGAACTATACACATATATTTGACTACCGTTGTATTTAAACAGTGTTACAATGTTAGTGTTAGCAGTACCGCTGGCAAGACTACGACTTGTTGGTGCTGCAACAACGATGGATGGTGATGAATCTACTACTTCAATAACATTTGGTAGAAGCGGTGTGAAGTTCAAGAATTTAGTTTCATTGCTGAGCGAGAAACTAGTAACGTCAGAAAGCAAATACATCCAGAATACGAATGACAGTACCATAATGATAGTGATGAGAACCTTGTTTTCACACTAAACCTTGGAGATGCATATGAATACACTGCCCCTTATATATGGCAAAAAACAACTGAGAGAAGGGATTGGGTTACGTCAAGGATTTACGACAACAAATAAAATCTCATAAATACAAGCTTGAAGGATACTTGAATTACTTCTAAAGTATAAAATTTCTCGCATAAAGCAACGTAGCCCAAATATATGCTGACACCATATCATGTACCAATCAAATAAAAAGGAGAATTAAGTACTTCCCTCTAGCAAAATCCAATTGTTTCGAAAAAGCTCGAAGTTCAGTTTTCTGAAACACGACCTAAACGGAGTGTTGAAGCGTTTAGGAGTAGAAACTTTTGTCCCCCCCCTCCTCAGAGACCGTGACAGACAAGGTCTCGACACATCACTGACCCCGACAGACGGACTTTGGGCCCATTACAGACCGTGACAGACAGGGTCTGGAGGGTGTGGGTGTCGGTGCACTGAAAAAAAATGGTACAACATCGAACCAAAAAAGGTACTCTGAACGAAAAAAGGTTTCCTACATAGTACGAAACCTAAAAAGGTTTCGAATGCGTTGCAATTCTCTGAACCATTTTAGGTTCGGTACAGACCACTTCGAAAAACTTGAAAAGGTGTTCTGAATTATTGACAATCAATTTTAGTCACCCAAAGTTTTGTACGAAACTAGGGTGTGGGTGTGTGGGTGTGTAGGTGTGGGCGTGGGTGTGAGTATGGGTGTGGGAGGGGTATGAGTGGGGTGTGGGGTGTGGGTGGGTGTGGGTGTGGGTGTGTGCGTGATGTGTAGGTGGGTGTGGGTGTGTGCGTGATGTGTAGGTGGGTGTGGGTGTGAATATCAATGAAACCAAAACACACAGCACACATCCACATCCACATACAGGCCCACTCACACCCCACACTCACAGCCACAGCCACAGCCACAGCCACAGCCACACTCCACGCCCACACCCACCCACACCCAACTACTATGATAGATGGTGCTACCATCTATTTGTTAATCTTTTATACTTTCTCTATTGTAACTGAAACATTTTTGTTAAAACATTTTTCGCTCTAGCAAGGTGAGACAAGTTTGTAATATAAATAACTATGGAGAAAAATATTCTCTAGTTAAGATACGAAGGAAAGAAAAAAAATAGTGCATAGAAGGTGGCACCATCTGGCACAAGAGTATACTGCAGTGTTCGACATGAGGTCGCAACTATCAACGCGAGTTTGACCCGACTTGGGTCAATTAACGTTGATTGTTGCGACCTCATGTCGAATACTGGTATACTGTAAAAAAAATTCGTAGAATAATAAACCCTAGTACTTAAGAAAAATCTTCTTAAACCCTTAAAGGGTTTATGCTGATGTGTTAAACCCTTAAAGGGTTTTTGTGCGAAAGGGTTTCCGAGAAAAAGGGTATTTAAAAACAAAAAGGGTTTATGACAAGCGAAAAATGGTTTATTGTTCTACCCTTTCATGGAAAGGGTTTATTATTCTACGGCTAAGGGTTTATTGTTCTACTCTTTTATGAAAAGGG